GATAGTATTTGTCTTCTTCCTCTAGAAGCTGATTATCAGCAAAATTGAGCCTATCTGCTTCAGGTTTATTTCATGGTGCTTTGAAGTTATCAAACAATATCTCGGGTTCAGAGTGGACCTAGTTACTAGTTGTGAAATTTTGCAAGAAATATTGTTAATTTATTAAAAGATGCCAAGTAAGATCTCTTCTAAGACTAGATGCCTTCATGTAAGCTACTTCTTTGATAATTTTGTATGGCAGCTAAAAAGAAAAAAAATTGTATGGCATCTTCTTTGACAATAACTTTGATATTACATTGGCTCTTCCTTAATTGCACGAGGTAGTGAAAAAAAGGTTCTACTTTAGTTGTTTGGATGAGGATTGAATTGTTGACTAGTTTAACTAATAATAAATGATAAAGCAACTATTTTAACAAATTTTAATTAGGCATGTTTGTTTCCAATATCTTGTTATGTGTATTATTGTTTTATTATACGATTTAGCAAATTATTTATATTTTGATGGCAAAACTTAGTGAAAAAGGATTAAACAATGTAGAACTTATGCAACCTGAAGAAAAAACCAAATGCAGAAGAAATAAATGGGAGTACCTATTTATGTTTATCATTTTCTCATATTGTCAAAATTTATCCTATTCTCAAAGGTGTTGACTAAAAATAAATAATATATTGATAAAGCAATAGATTATCATTCATTTATTTTTGGAAATATATTTCATAGTTGGGAAAGGGGTATAAAAATTGAAGTCCAATTAATAGTTCATCATTATCTTTAATACTAAGATTTTTGAATCACATTTATATATAAAAATTCTTTTTCTTCTATGACCTAATACTAATTCTCATCCTCCAACACTTCTTTTGATGCCCAACTTTTACTGAATTTCTTGCTAATCAACCTATTCGCTCACTTTCTCGCTCAACCCCTTTCGCTCAAAGAGAGGCAGTATAGTTATCAAAGAAATTGTTCTTGAATGATATAATATACTTTAGGGCATATTTTGGTTTAGTATTTAACTAGCTTATAGATTTTGATTTTGATGTACCAGTTTTTTATGTTTTTTTATTATGTTTACACTTTCATTTTATATATTTTAATAACCTAAATAGAAAAATCCCTCAAATCAATAAATATAGTTTTAGTCGGTTTTGATTAATCTCTATAATTAGTTCCCATAATTAGCTTTGAAAAATCTAAGTCAAATGAGAATATCTTGTAATTAATTACAAACTAAATTGTGAATTTTCGTAACTACAATTTTGTGTTCTATTATCGTTCACACTTATCCATCAAGATTAGGCATCCTATATTGTTAAACTTTGTATTGCAGGTCAAATAATGACGTGCATTATTTGGATGCTCATATCTAACAATTGTCCTACCCTCTTTCACACCTATTCAATTTTACTCACCAGTTTCTCTTTCGCTCACTCTTCTTAATATCCAAAAAGATATTTCAATCCTACACATCACTCTCCCTTTCTCTCACACTTTTCGATTTCAAAAAGACATTTCAATTCTATTCATTACTTTATATTTCACTCACTCTTCTTGATTTCCAAAAAGGCATTTCAAACCTACTCATCACTCTCTCTTTCACTCAATCTTCTCAATTTCCAAAAGGGCACTACTTCTACTTTGTTAACTCAAATTGACTTGAGTCTCTCTCTCTCTCTCTCTCTCTCTCTCTCTCTCTCTCTACACATAAATTTTATATAAATATCTTCATCTTTCTTTTGCTATAACCGACAACTGTTCAGTTCTCTCCACATTTTAACGTGAATCATGAGGTGATCATCTTTTCAACATTTCACTGTATTTCAATGTCATTTTTGTATATTGCATTTAGACTCATTTACTAGTTAGATTCTTTCTTGTTTTTTTTTTTTTTTGGCAATTCTAAATCAAAAGCAACCCAAGGAAAGAAAAATAAGGAAATGAACCAAAATCAAAAGCAAATTAGTTTTTGATTCTTTTTCCTTAAAGAGGGTTTTCGAACTTGTGTTATTATTACTATTTTGAATATTTTTGTTCCTTTGAAGAGCTATATTGACATACATTGATTCTCTACATGTGGGCTTAATAAGTGGACTTACTCAAAATTAGAAAACAAAATATGGTGAAGAATACTAAGGAAATCGTTCTTTTCATTTTCTTGTATTGTCTTCCGCACATAAGATAATCGTTCTTGATTTCTAATATGCGGTAACATTATTGTCATGTTAATTTCCATGCATAATTCTTTCTCTTTTTGCTATTTCCCGATTTTTCAATGACATCTTATATATTATTGCAACTAATGAATGTAGTGGCCCTTTCATTTTTCTTCTTGCAGCTTAATCTGCATTGATGGCTAGCACTAGGAAAGGAAAGCACAAGAAGAAAAAGTAGAAATCTAATCCTTATAAATCCAAAGAAAACAGCAAGCAAACCGATATCTCAGGTATCAAATTTGGATTGGGACATGAGAAAGAAGGGGACAACTGTGATTCTAAGCACTCTAAAGACAAGCTAGTAGAAAAATTCTTTACATGACTAAGAAATTATTCTGAAGAGCAAATAAATGAAATTATTTTCAGCATGGAAGAACTCATACGAAGTCATAAGCAACAACTGGAAGAATAAATTGGGTACTGAATAAAAGAGGGGAAGCGAAAGCGAATATGGTTAGTCATACTCATGAGTTAATTAAGCTAAGTTCGGAGAAAGAAAAGAGTGATCAACTAGCTAAGGAGAAAGAGGAACTCACAACTTCTATGCCTTAAATGATGTTAAAGAAAAAAAAAGGTGGAAGAACCGCAACTGGTCAGCTCAACAGGCTCTATGAAGAATTGGAAAAAGTTCAGGCTAAAAATCTTAGACTTCGAGTTGAGCTCACTAACATTAAATTGAATGAATCAGAATCAAAGAAGAATCTGAAACAGGCTGTGAAAAAGGAAAAGGAAAGCCTTGAAAAGATAGAAAGCTCAGAAAAACACATTTGCAAGACAAAAAGTCTGATTAATCAAGAGAAAGAAAAGATTCTTCAGCAGGAAGTGAGGTTGAAAAATGTTGTTCAAGCCCAAGGAGAGGCCAAGGTACGTGCTTGTTTACTGATGAACTTTGACTTAATTTGACTATGATTTATGTTGCATTGTACTTCCATGATACTTCCTGTTTGGTTCGAATTTGATCAATGGACGCTATCTGCATATGCATGGAATGTTTGAAATTAATGATAAAACAAATCTTTCCTTCAAGTTCTCATTCCTTAAGATGATAGAGTAGAAAGGGTTTGTTGTTCTAGCAGAGAGACATTTTTTCTCCTTTTTTTTACTTTAGTGAACTACAAAACCCTTACATGATTGCTTTACGTTTACCATGTGTCTATATTGTGTATGACAATGAATCTCCCAAAAAAAAAGAAAAAAAAAAGAAGAATGAGCTTTATTTGACTACTTTGTCATCTTAAATATAATTTTATCCCAATATTTAAGCCAAAAAACTAATGAGTTTATACTGTAGTTACAATAAAAGTAAAATCTTGCTACTTTCAAGATTATTTGAATTATATACCATTTTTCTTAAAAGCCTGCGTATACATCTATTTTTTGAATAATAATTGATATGTTTAGCATTGTTAGTGAGCTTTGACTTTTATAGCTCTATTGAGTATTGCACTACATTATCTCAAAGAAAAAGTTTAGCACTTGTAACATCACTATATTGAAGAATGTATACAAATTTTGTTGAGTATTGTTAACTTAAAAAAAAAATAAGTCACTGGATTTGCTAGTGAATACAATAATTTTATACCTTTTGACAACATAAATAGAAGAAAGGGCAGTGATGAATCTCTATATAGATTTAGGTTCTCAAGATCATCAATATTATTATAGAAGCAATATAAAGTTTGCATAATCGCCAATTGTAAACTCACAGATGTTGAAAGTATCAAATAGTGAAATAAAATCACTTCAAGATGTCAATCAGATTTTTTAATCTTTTTTTGTTTCATTCAATAATCTTCATTTCACTGCTAGTGAAGAAACTTTCTCCTTATTCTTGGTTTAATATGTTGCCAACTATGAGGAACTTAATTGACCTCATTATGAATGGTTATTGATTGTTCAGCTTAACACTCTTGATATGTAAGATCCAAGTGAGGAGATCTAAAGAAACATCATGAACGACATATAAAAATCATATTTTGTTTGTGGATGCACCACACATATTAATTAATCCCTACATTTTGGCATGTGAGTGACATTTTATGCTCTAATAGTATTAGTTTGTGATAAATAAGTATTAAGTTAGAAGAAAACTTTTATTTTTTCTCGAAACAAAGAGGTTTTGCAGTTTCCTCCTCAAGGAGTATGTAGCTAACAGTTTAATTTTGTTTTTCTCTTTCGTGAAATTCCTACATTAGAATATCCTAATTTCTCACCACTTTTTGTACCACAAATCATCTGTGCTGATGTTGTAAGGAAATGTTTAAAGCTCTTGATGATCTATTAGAATTGTTAAAACTCCTGTTTTCCGTATTGTACAATTTCGACAGTGTTTTAGGTCAAACGGTTGCAATTGCTATGAACGGAAAGGATGGTAAGAGTTATGCCATCATTCAAGCCTACCGTAAGGGTAGTCTTCTACTGGGCAGGTAGCCTTATCTGAGACTAGACCTCTGAAAAACAAAGAGAGGCCAAGGTCAAAAGCCTTGAGCTGCAGGATGATACAGATGCAAAAACCTCTTCTGTGTTATCATAGGGAACTTGGCTTTATTCCCTAATACCTTAATATTGACAAATCTTAGGCACTGACTCACATATAGTTCGTGGAGACTATGTACATAAGGTGCCCATGGTTGACTTCACTTTTCTTTTGAATTCTTTTGAATTCTTTTAAGGGTGCCACTATTTCAATCTGCAATTCACTAAAACATTGATACAGTATGCTTTTTTTTTTTTTTTTTTTGCGTGCATGATTTGAGCACCGCGGAAACATTATACACCTTGGCTTTCAAGAAAAGTGAAAAATAAAAAGTGCAAGAAAAAGATGGCCAGGTTTATATTCTCAGGAAATCCTTGGAATATCATCTAAAACATAATGACCAAGCCTTCCTGTGCGACACAGATCCAATAATTTAATAGCAAATTTAGTATGACCATCCGCTCCAGATTGAGTAATACGAAAGGCATTTCGTAACATTCTGGACTCTACTTCAATGAGCTGTTCCAAATACTTATCATTTTCCAGATCTCCGCTGAAAGTTGAAACAGCTTCAAAAAGAGTTCGCCGAACATCATTTACAATGAAATCCTGCATAAATGGTTATGAATGCCATTATCAATAATGTAGTCACAAGCTAAACAAAAAAGGAATCTGATGGCCCTAACTTTCATTATTGTTCTTATCACAAGTCTTTAAACTTCAGTTGTTTGATTGAGTGCATATAGCAGATAATGCAGTGGAGAAAGACTCACAAAGGACGGATAACCTCCTCAAGAAGTGTAGTCCCTATCCACAATAAGCATAAAATTTTCTGTTTCCCTTACCCGTAGATTTTAATATTCAGCATTCCTTTTGAACTATGAATACTGTCAGTTATATTTAAAGCTTTTAGTTGTTCACTACGTATTTGAACTACATACCATTCTGGCCACCAGAATCAGGAGGAGACAAGAAAAATCCTAAAATGGTCCTCCTTTGAACCGAACGTATATGTGCTTTAGGGTTATCACATGAAAAGGCAACAGAACAGAATTTAACAACTATAGATTAGTTGAATCATGCAAGCGTTCGTTATGAACCTATTATAATAAATTCGGTCAACTGTTTCAAAGCTACTGTATCAACAGAAATGAAGGAAGAAAATAGGCAAGTCCAGAATAATCTCTCACTGTTAATCCCACTGGAGAGTTTGACTTAATTAATTTTGTTTTCATGCCCCTGGTAGAGTAGGCATTTAATGTAAACCACACCTCTTAGTACCACCAAATTCTTACCAATATCACACAGCTGAAGTTTGCTAGTCAAAACATGGAAACCATCACACAGGAAGGAAAATTTTACATAAAAGCAACACCGGACCTAGAAGTTTCCTAATACATAGTTAGACGTGATTACGTAGGAATTTAGGCTAATAAAACTAACTTATGCAAGTAACTCTAGGCAGTCTCCTGATGATTTGTCCTGTTTTTTCTTTTCTGTTTTCTTTTCCTACTGTTTTAATAGCTCTTGCATCTTGTGGTACTAATGTCTACCTCTGTAAGTTCTTTAATGGTAAAGCTAACTCTTAAGCAACCTTCGTTAAAAACTATTCCCTTTTTTTTTTGTGTGAGGCACATTTATATGAGAAGATTTATTATCTTATCAAACTTCCAACAGAATACAATTCATGAATTTGTCTCGATTGAAACAAGCACACATTCTCAAAGACCTGCTTCTGTTTGAAAGAATACTTCGAAAGGCCAAAGCCAATCCCAAGGAACAGTGAAGCACCCATTTACAAAATACCTGTGTGTGATCAGTTGCATATTGCCTCTTGTCCATGTGAGAGCTCTCAGAAAGCTCCTCTTCCTGATAAATTGATGATCTAACATTCTCCATGGCAGAAAACTTCAACCATTTCTTATATTCTTGGCTCAAATTAAGAACGGCAAGAAAGTAATGAGCTAAATCATTTTTCCCAACAATGCAGTCCCTGATAGCTCCTATGCATTGGAAACACATGTCAGTACAATTTACTGGAAACTTTAATTTTGTTCTCAATGGCCTCGACTGAATAGTTAAGGTACATACCTGCAACAGCAAAAGAGAGTTTTTCACATGTAAACCAAGGCCAAAAGAAAGTTCTCAGAACAAGAATGAATAAAAACTGTACAGTTAGCATTTCTACCTATTAAAGCTAGTTTAGAGCACAGTTCGTCACCAAAAATCTCTGGAGGCAAGATACCAGGAGTGTCCAAGACGTAGATATTCAGATGACTGGCAATCTGAATGCAAAAAACCTCATGAATAATAACAAAAAGCAAAAAGCAAAAAGCATGAAGACTGAAAACAGAAAGGGGACAAAATGGAAACAGAGATTTTTTGGAGGTGTACAATCATTAGCATGCAAGGGGACTCTTAAGATACAGATGATGGCTTGCAGTGAAATTTCAGCAAATGCTTCAAAAATGAGAAGTGATAAATTAAGCAAACTGATGATAGAAAAACATAACAACCAGACAAACTTAAGTTTTGGGGGTCTGATTATTGATTAATTTGCTCAGATAGATGATAGTTGGCTTAAGGGAGAATAGCTAAATCAAGATCTCCAAAAAAGGTTATTATGCCCCACAAATCTTGAGCTTACTCAGCTTACTGGCAACGCAATGAAGTTTTTGCATGAAATAACAGCAGCAATTACGAAATTTGAAATTTCTGATTTCAGCTTGTGCATGCAAGTACGATGACTAACAACGTATAAAAATGTGCAACTTTGCTAGATTCCCAAGTTGAAATAGAGCACATATTAAAGAGAAAGTTTTGCACCTTTAAGCTGCTTATATTTTTTGTCTCCCCTGGTTGTGGACTCACGGTGGCATGCTTTGACTTCCCTTTCTCTTAAATCAACAACATATCATCAGGTTAGAAGCAACAAAAAAAAATGAATATCATCTACAGAAAAAAGAAAACGAAAGAAAGAAAATGAAATATTTATTGAAGCTATGGATACCATACCAAAAAGACTAATAGTATTATGAAAAGTACAGTAAGGATCAACTGACCTAGAGCGCTTATCCTTCCAACTTGGTGCAGTGCATTGGCGAGGGCAGACTTGCCTACATTAGGTATTCCAACAAGCATTAGAATTATCGTTTCACCGGAGTGACCTGTCTTCAGAAGTTCTCCAGCTCTAGCTTGCAGAAAGTTGAGGAACTGTAAGATGTTAAAATTGGTGATGAATCCAATATATATAAAGAAGATAGAAGATTATCAACAGAAAATATTACCACCTAAGCACAAAGGTAACAACAAATTGTCAGTCACAAATCTTGAAATGAATGATATAGTCTTTAATGGAAATGAGCAAGAGCTTTGTCAAACATGAGATCACATGGAATAATAAAGAAAACTTAAAATAAGTGGAACAATTGAATATCCTAGAGCTTTCAAAGTGACACTTCTGAAAAACAGATGAACCCAAGTGGCCCACCAGTATGAAAATCAGAAGGTGTGTATATTATGTTAAAAGATGCTTTGTTGCTCACTGGATGGATCAAAAAGAAAAAAGATATAGCCTTTAAATGGCAATTATCTCCTAGTTTTCTCAGGATTTGTATAGTTTGTTTTCTGCATAGATATCCTCGTCAACGGAGGATGCCACAGGATTATCTTTGTACTAGGCGAGGATAGTGTACCCTGTCTATGATCAATATTTATGATATAAAAGAACAATTTAACTTGAGAAAACAAAGAATATATCATGCTTACTAAGTTTTGCTAATTAGAAGATGTAAACCACTTCACCACTTAAAAGATTAAAATAACACTAATCTTCATAGATATAACTTTTATTACTTCCAATTAATATAGCGTCAAGGAGATCAATTTTTAGTGTTGTGATATCATATTTCTGGCTGTAACCAGTTTACCCTTAATAATTCGTCAGACAAGTAAACAGGACCCACACTGGCGATAATTAAATCATTTCTATTAGATAAAATTAATCGAGATGGAATGCATTTATTTCAGTAATAAGTCAGCTAGTATAACAACCATACTGTGTGGGAACAGCTTCTAGAATTACCTCTCTGATGTTTTCCTTATTATGCGCATTGACTCCGAAAGCAAGAGACCTTTCTTGGTTGAAATACATGTCAGATGTTTATATCCATATAACTGCAAATATGATGAATCAGATGAACAGGATCAAGTAGATAAATACTCAAAGGCCAAAATTTTCTTCCAATGAAGGAAATGCTGCTAAGAGTGATGTATTCATACTTAGAATTGCAAGTATGCTACATGAGTGAAATTCTCATGCCCCAATCCCCTTCTTTGTCAAATATATTGAAGTTTGCTATAAGATAAAAATGTCAACCGACAATACCCTTCTGCATGATACATATTGAAGATGTAGTACTTTGAAGCATTAGTTCTTCAGATGCCACTGCCAACTCACTGTAACCAAGGAAGAAGTTTTAACTGATCTCAAAAGTATCCTTCCTACTGTCCCGAATTACAATCTCCAATTACTTCCATCCATGGTAAATATCTCTCATCGCCAAGCAATTGAAGCAAACAACAGGTCTTAGGAGGAACTGTCTTGTACACTCTTCAATATCTAGTAATTGAGAACTTTTGCCCAACAAAATATTTGATTAATCATGCCAAATTCACCAAAATTTGTGGAGCCAAATCACACTGATGTTCAATGAACATTTCAGTTAGATTAAGTAAAAACAAGCATTCAACATAAACATCAAACTTTCCAGCTTCCATCTTAATCTCCCAGAATAACTTTAGATTTTCCATTATTCCTGTTATACATTCTTCTATGATAATATATCCTAATAATATTTATGTTATGCACATGATTAACTTTAAGAAAACATACAACAAATCTTTTGATAGCCAAAAGGGTGATTTAAATCCAGCATTCTGCAACAAAGAGTTCGACATTCATATCGAATCTGCATGATGACCCACAAGTTCTACTATGAGGATAGATACTCACCTTCATTGCTGATTGTTTTGCAAGGTCTATCTTGTTCAAGACAATGATGCGCCTCGAAGAAGACAACAAATCACCGAGTTGGCTGCATTCTGATGACAAAGGAATCTACGAATCATACCCAGAAAAATTTTCAGAACCAAATAGGAAATAAAACGCAATTGAAGAAAAAAACCAAACTAAGCAGAAGCATACGGACGTATCTTAATACATAAATCAACATCAGTATTTCAATATTTACTGCGTCCCCAGAACTTAAAATTCAGAAACTCACAACGTGAATACAAGGGCAAAGGAACAAGAAAGAGAGCAGTCACTCAGATATTTTAGCAAACAGTTTGTTTGCAATTAAAAGGAACCAGAAGCCAGATTTTTCCCTGTGCCTTACCCTTGCATCGCGAACTTCGAGGACGAAATCAACCAAAAGGGATACGTTCAGCAATAGCGCGGGAAGCAGCAGCCATGTGGGGTGTGTACCACCAGCTTGAGCATTTGGTTCTGGCCACTTCTTTAACCGCACTACCTAACTTTTGAACTATACTTCTAGTAGCCGTTGAACCCATGAGGCCTTTGATGCTAACAAGCAAAATTAGTTTGTCATCGTGGAGTCATCTTCAACAATGGTACGCAGGCTTCTCTGGGATCCTCTTCCTTCAGTTCTTTTTTTGTTTTGTTTTTTTTTTTGTTTTATTATGCACCCACCAACTGAATCCTGATTCTCATTTTGGCCCCTGAACTCTAAACTGTGGCATTTTAATCTCTAAACTTCAATAGTTTATTCTATACTATTTCTACTTCTACCCCTACTCTAACCTATTCTAAGGGAGGGATTCAACTAGGCCTATGAGATCCAATTGGGCCTGTGGGGGGTCGACACAGATTGAACCACCATCGAATCAGACGGATAAGCTACACACCTGTCTGGATTTGGAGAGTCACGTACTGTGGCAATAACCTTGCCTCCCACCCCACCAAACCTTAATGGCTTGATGGTGGCATTTTTAAAAAAATTGAAACATTTTTTAATTTTTTAATTTTGAGATTTTTGAGATTATTGTTTAATCTAATTTTCTTGCTACGTTTTTGTGATATGCAATCATACAGTTCAAGTGACTAGTATTCTATTAGTTTTGGAGATTCTGTTAATGATTGTACTTAAGTGGGATAATTTTTATAGTTTAGGAACTAAAAAGTTCCAATTTATAATTTCAAAACTGAAATAAAAATTGAAACATAGTTGAATGGTACAAAATAAAATTCATACTTTGATGGCAAATTTATGATTTGACGCTAAACCATGTAAAAATAGTAAAAGTTTTCATCTTAAAGCACCAAGAAATTTCTCACTTTTACATTTTCATCCTCCAATTTTAATATCAATTTTACATTTTCTCAAAAGGTATGCATAAAGAAATGCTTGTGCATTTAAATTTACTAAAAGGACAAATTCCACTTTGCACCCATAAACTTGTATCACTTTTTCACCTTGCACCCTAAATTTCAATTTTGGATATCTTGCACCATAAACTCTTAGTTTTGGATACTTTGCACCCTAAACTCTTAGTTTTTGATACTTTACGCTCTAAACACTCAAGTTTGTCCTATTTAAGTCTGATCAATGACAACTTTAACAAAATTAACAGCATAGAGGACCTAATAAACTAATGATAATGTCCCAAAAGTAGTCAAAAGCTACCATGGGTATCATAACAAAAATAAAATAATATATTGTCATTAATTTGTAATGTCTTTTATCTCTTTAATTTTGTTAACAATAATAGTAATTGAGGCTTTATAAATAAAAAATAATGTTGTAAAAATGGTCAAAAAGTTAAGGGATTGCGAGTAGAACAAAATGGCATATTATCATTAATTTTCACTACTCTTTATTTAATTAATTTTGCTAGTATAGTCATTGATTGGACTGAAATTGGACAAAACTGAGAGTTTAAGATACAAAGTGTCCAAAATTAAGAATTTAGTATGCAAAGTGTCCAAAATTGAAATTTAGAGCGCAAAAAAAAAGTAATACAAGTTCGAGAGCGTAAAGTAAAATTTGTCCTTACTAAAAGTTTGCTAAACATATCAGTGTTTAAAAGATTTATCCCTTCACAATTTTAGAAGGGTTAATTAGTCCTAACGACTGAAATCAAATGCATCACGAGAGCATTCGCGGCTATTTCCACCTTCTTTTTTTTTTTTTGGTTTTGCTATGTGAATGTTGGTAAATAGTGTATACCATGGTCTTCTTCTTGTCGAAATATTTATACGTCAACCTCATATTGTTTTCATCTTCTATAGATTACTTCTGCACAAACATGGCGTACTAGGCTTACATTATGAAACTTGATGTCATGATTTTGATTGCTTTTGTGCTAATACTTATGTACGACAATTGTGCTGAAAGGTTAAGTAACACGGAGATGTGTATAAGGGATCACGAAAGCAACTATTCCTGCGCTATCCTTTCACTTAGCCCAACAAAAAAAAAATTAAGCCCGAGATCATACAACATAATCGATATCTCCATGGTCCTCTGGCTAAAACAAATAATATTATTTTGCTAGGCCAATGGCTAAAATTTTATTAAGATTGTATTTTTCTGAATATCGAACTAGTAGATTGGGTACAAAGGCCACATAATCTATCTAGATACGTCTTACGAACTTAAGCATGCCAAAGATTTCACTGAAATAGAGGAGAGTTCAGTCCTTTTTCCGCACACTTGAAGGTGAGACCCTTCTGACTCGTCCCAAACAATTATCTATAGGCCTCTGATGAGGTAAATAGATTAATGGGCACGAAGGATTCTGCCTTTCTAGCCTGCAAGACAAAGGGACAACACAATCAATAAAAATGTGCCTTATGTATTTTGTTTTCTGAAAACACCAAGGGATTGAATTAGCAATTTCAATCTTTTCTCCATGAAAATGAACGTAATTTCTAATCCAGGTTTGATTTATGAATGGTACTAGCAACTACTTAAGAAGCCAGTGTTTATGCACATGCCATGTCAACCATACATCTTTTCTGAATGTTATGCTACAGTTTGAAAGGAAATTTTAAGCTAAGAAGTGCAAGTCAAGAAGGGATGGAAGCCAGGTTGCTCACTCATAGTCAAGGAGAAAATAGTGAAGGAAAATAGAAATTTCGAGCTTTGCAAGATCATTTCCGGGACAAGTTCTGGCTCCTGCCCCGAAAGGAAGAAAACTTCCTGCTTTAGCTGTAAGACCCCGGAAAATAAATATAGCATCTGTTAATTTTCTTGATTATCTTCTCTCAGTTTCTAGATAAAATCATTATTGCGTCACAAGAAAAAGCAGTAATCCGTACTTGAGGAAATAAACAGTTAAAAGATAATAATTCTTGCTTGATAGAGATAGCCAGGAAGCGAAGAGAAGAAATTATACATTAAAAATAGATACAAGGAGCAGAGCAGAGGACTATAGAACAGTTATAACTTACATCCCATCTGTCAGGATCAAATTTCTTTGGCTCGGGATACAATTCAGGATCAAAATGAACGTTCCTAAACCAGACTAATGCTTTCCACCCTTTTGGAATTGTAAAACCTGAAGGAAACGAGAATCCTGCAGTTAGCACATTTTTATAAACATAACAAATAGGTTGCTTCTTGCAGGTTTTTATTTGCAAGATTATCCAATAAGCATAATAGCTAGTTTTCCATCTGCACCATTTGAGCAAAATCATTTTCTGTGAAGAGAAGAAAACACAGAAAAACGTCTTTCAAGAAATTACTTCATGTATATGCGCTTTTGCATTGGTTTCTGGGATGTCATCCTGATATATGAAAATCAAGGATTACTGAACTTACCAGAGATATTGATGTCTTTCTGTGCTTCTCTGAATACCACAAATGAGAAGGTAACTACACGTAGTGTTTCATCAATGACCTTCAAGATTTTGGAGAAGGAAAATTTCATCAGCAAACTCAGGTGCATGCTTGAAGATTGCAAATTTATGAGACGTTAAGAAATTCAGCTACCTTTGAAAGATAGTCCATTTGTCGAATTTCTTTCAGAGTCAAACCTACTTGGCCTGGTGGCCTGTTCTTAACAATTGCCTCTTGCTCAGCCTGCAAGTAAGTCCAATACTTTAGGCAAACGGTGGTCCTCAAATCCTTGAGAACCCTAATTAGCCAGAATCTTGAACTCTTTGTCCATTTTTTCACTCCCAAGCATCATTACATATAGTAGACTAAACTCATTCTTAGCTAGTGGCATCCATGAGTAGAAGGTAGATCACATTGATCAAGAAATACAGAGCAAAGGTGATGAGTATGATTTTCTTACCTTTGCTTTCTGAAGGACTTCAGGGTTCTTCTGCAGAAATAGAGTAGCCCACATTGAAACATGGCCAGATGATTCATGGCCTGCATTTAGATACATTACTAGAACATCAATAATTTCCTCATCATCCAATTTTCTACCTTTATCATCTACAGCATCCATCAGCGCGTCCATCATATCCCTTTTCTCAGCAGTTGAATTTTCCTTTCTCCTTGCCCTTCGCTCAGTCACAACAGATTGAAATATAGCCACAAGCCTTTTCCGTGCCTGAACATTTCAGATCACTTATTTGAGTCACAGTTTATAATCCCAAAAGTATAATCCTGGCAATCAAGGTACTACATTTATTCCTCAACTTAAAATCAAATGCCATAGCACCGTTAAATGAGTATTGTACCATTTCATTTCCACTGGAATAAGTTGTGAAATGAATATAAGAATGATGAACAAAGCTCACCTTGAGAGCATTATAGTAAGCAAATCCAGGAACGTTAA